AGTTTAGATGAGCTATTACCAGCAGGAGAGTGAGTTTGTGTGTGTATGGGGGTGGGGGGGGATGTGAGAAAACCTGGATCTATGCAGGAAATAGCCCGACTTGATTATGTAAAGAGTTGTCACTTTGGATGGGCTAGCACCAGCAGGAGAGTGAATTTGTGGGGGGGGGGGGGGGGTGGAGGGTGAGAAAACCTGGATTTGTGCTGGAAATGGCCCACCTGTTGATCACTTTAGATAAGCTATTACCAGCAGGACAGTGGAGTGGGAGGAGGTATTGTTTCATATTCTCTGTGTGTATATAAAGTCTGCTGCAGTTTCCACGGTATACATCTGATGAAGTGAGCTGTAGCTCACGAAAGCTCATGCTCAAATAAATTGGTTAGTCTCTAAGGTGCCACAAGTACTCCTTTTCTTGTGGCATTGGGTTCCTTTAGAATGCCTCCCCATCAAACCACCTGGCATTCTCCAAGGTATGCCCTAACTTCTTATCATTCATAATGTGGATTTATCTCCCGTCTCTTGTTTAATTTAACCTCTTGAAATAAACATAAATTAAAACAATGATGTGCCAGGAGGAGGACATTATTAAGAGATACCATACGTAACTGACTCAGCAGGCTCTTTCCAGTGCTTAGAAAAAAGGCTTGGGGCACCAAAAACCCTCCAGGATAATTATCTCAAGATAATCCTTAGTGCTCAGATGGATTATTACAATTGACAGGGGATGTTAAAATAAATAGACTTCTGAAAACTAAGTAGCCACTTTTCCTGTGCCGCTCTCAACACCTGTGAGGCTTGTACAGGTTTCTTCACTTACACTGGTGAAAAAACGAGGGATGGTAGGTGAGAGGAGACTCAAGCCTGGTGGCTTTTAAAGATCCTGGGACCAGATCCATAAATCGTGCAAACAGGTGTAACTTCACCTATTTTTAAACACAGACTAAGGGGGGCAGATTCTGCTCTGATTTAGCCTGCTTTAAATCAGGAGTAACTCCGCTGAAAGGACTCCTGATTTACAGGGGGTGGCTCCGCTGATTTCAATGGAGCTATGCTGATTTGCACTTGCGGATGATTAAATGCCTAGACAAATCCTGCACTCATTTTCACAGTGGTAACTCTTTAAATCAGCAGGTAAATCAGGAATAAGTTCAGTGGAATTACTCCTGATTTACACCAGTGTAAATGAAAGCAGAATACAGCCCCTTTAGTCTGTTTTAAAAATAAGCAAAACAGCTGTAGTCCCCAAGCTGCATATCAAATCCCCTTCTTTCATTTTTAATCTCTCCTTTTAAAAAAAGAGTAAGAACATTGACAAGTAGTCAAATGTTCAAACACTGCTAGGGGAGAAAGGATCCTTCAGTCATGGTGAGCTCACCCTGATAAGCCCTTTTTAATTAGCCTGAGTGCGAACATTGTATAAAGCACGGAGGGGTGCATGTCTCCACGCTGCACATGTGGGGAGGAAATGTAGGAAAGGCAACAGAAAGCAGGACCCCAAACACAGCTTCTCTCTACGGCAGAAGGCAGTATATGATTATGAATTGGCTACATCCACAATAAGTAAAACGTAGGCTATGTTCCCCAGCACTTTATGACAATGTCTAAGCGGTAACAAACCGATACGGCAGGCATTTCCTGGCAGGCAATGACAGGGGCATTAGCAGTGATGGCCCTTCCATCAAAGCATTGCCTGACTCAGCAAAATGAGAAAATAAAATCAGCGTATAACAAATGTACCTTCTTCTTCATTTGAGGTGCCATTCACAGCTGTTAAGTTAACAGAACAGCTCTTCCACAGGAGGGGCTGATGCAGAGAAAGCAGTTCGGGGCACCAAGCTTGTATTTTCCATTGAAGGGTTGCCTTAGTGTTTGGACTACAACACCACTCACAGTGTGTGTGCAGTTCCCATACTAAGGGAAGGGGAGCCATAGATGTAGCTGGATAGACAGAGAGCCAGCAACTCCTCATGTCTTATCCCTACATTGGGTCACTTCACACATCTGTGGCTCAGTCTAGTTGCTTAATCTCTCTCTGATTCAGTTCCCCTATCACATACAGAGTTTAATTATACCAGTATTGCCACCCCAAAGTGTTCAAAAATAATTAATTATGCCCCCATTCAAATCATAAGATTGGCTTAAAAACATGCAATTTAAAAAAAATAATGTATTTGGGGTTTTCATTTTCCTTCTGATTTTTAACCTTTAAGGTTGGCATTTTCAAGCTTTCCTCCACAACCACAAGGACTAAAAGTGTATTTTTAAATGAAAACTGAGATTCTTAGAAAAATAACATGACTCCAGAAGCTGAAACTTCAGAAAAACTACCAAATATCATGAGACTCTTGATAAAATTGTGAGAGGTGGCAACACTGCAAGACCTCTTACACCTCACAGGGGTGGTGTTGTGATAACTGGGCTGACAAATGTACCCTAATTGTCAGCTCAGAGTCCGTAAGATATCACAACAAATGTTGATGGGAAAAGGTACACAAATAAGACAAACTGAATTAGCCTAAACAAAAAGGCTTACTACTATACCTCCAGAATTGTGTTAATCTCATGCTTGGTAAATGAGAAAATGTGGGTCCAGAAATCCAATATTGGTGTGTTGGAAATAAGGCCCAATGGGTGGACAAAATAATGAGGGGATAGGCTATTTCACCCACCCTTCCATTTGTGGCTCCTTAAAGAGACTTTTGCGGGAAAAGAATGGAAGAACAGACAGAGGCTACTGGAACAAGCTTCATCATCATGGCTGCCACCCTGACTGTCTCCTGGGACCCTGGACCTTCTTTGGTCGAATCCTGAGAGATGCCTTGACCAGCTTGGGCCGGAGAGAGGGATCCAGATGACATTGCCCGGCTCTAGCTGAATCCCGAATAGCACCTGGGATGAAATGGGATTGCACTTCTGCAGCAGCAGCAGCAGCTCCAACCCATCTCAGATATGTCTTCTCTTTCCCTTGAAAGGACACTTACTGCCATCTTTGCTGCCATCTAAGACTGTCAAACAAGGGAGGGTTTCCCTTCTAAATCTCTCTCCATCTAAAGAGAACAAGGGATGTTGTTAAAATGAACACCTTATTTAATACTTTAATTGTTTTCCCTTCTTTTCTGTATCTTTAACAAAAGGTTTAAAAGAGTTTTTAATGGTGTGTTTACCAGGGTACTAAGCAGATTGAGGTTTTGATATACCAAACCCCAAACCTTGTTTAACACTGTTTAATTTTGGACATATTCTGGGTTCTGATAACACCTTTGGCCCATATTTGCCATCTAAATTAATACAAGAGTGGGCATAGGAACTAACAGGAGAAACAGCAGGATTCTTTGCTGGTGTAAATCTGCATAGCTCCATTGACTTTACTGGAGCTCCGCTGATTAACACAGCAGCTAAGGATGTGGCCAAGTTGTGTAATGGTCATAGGTATTGATGATAGGGGATCATGCTGTTTAGAAAGCTTTATCGTTTTTTAACATTAAATCCTTTCTACAGGGGTGAGGACATCAGTTGAATTGATCCAGTCCATTATCTATCACTGAAGGTGGGACTTAGCATCACATCTTTTGGTTACTAATTAATGGTCTTGGTAGTGTCTTTCATCTCTAAAGAAATCAGTGTGTTTAAGTTCTTCTTATTATTTTATACACAGGTTGTGCCTTCCGGGGGAGGAGGGCAAAGCATTTCACAGCATTTATTTTCTGAGCCTCACTCACAAGCCTGGGAGGATGTTACAGCACATGTTATTAGAGCTGGAATGATACTTCCCAGGAAAGAATAATCTGAGCATTCACCCACATTTTAAAATGGAGGTTCTTTGGGGTGGGCTCATGACCCTTTCATATTTATTCCGTCACATGGTTGAGCTTTGCTCATGCATAGCCATTTTTAAAATGATGTACTTGAGTATTTGTTCCAGAAAGGGTCTATTTTATAGTATTCAAACCAGAGGGATGTTTTTTTTGGAATACTGAATCAAATTCTCATGACCCATGTTCCTGACAGAGGAATTTAAATTGGGACAGGTGCAAAGAAGTGCTGCTAGGGGGCTCAGGGGAACAGAGAGCCTGTCTTCTATGAGGAGATAAAAGAACGTGGGTTGTTTAGCCTAGCAAAATGGTGATCTGATTGCTTTCTGTAAGGACACGGGGTGTGTGTGTGGGGGGTAAACTCCAGGGAGAAGAGCTAACAAAGCAAAAGGACAGTGTTGGAACAAGGACAAATGGGTGTCAACTGGCCATGAATAAACTCTGGCTGACAATTAGAAGAAAAGCTTCTAATCATTACAGGAAAGAGGTTCTCGAACAACCTCCAGTCGGAGCAGTGCGGGCAAACAATCTAACAAATTTCAACGTGGAGCTTGGTAAATTTCTGAATGGGATTATGTGATGGGTTGCCTGGGTTAGCAGGGGACTGGATTTGATGACCTAGGAGGACCCTTTGTGATGCCTACACTGTGTCCTATCCTTATGCTTTACCATGTCCCAAATTTTATATGGGATGGGAGAAAAGCTTGACACAGCCTAGCAAAGGAATTCTCCAACCCCTTTCTAGAGCCCTGACACACAGGCTGGTAAGCAAGCCAGACAAATATCTGATTGCACCCTTCACAGACAGGATCAGGTGCTTTAACTTTGTGTCAATGACACCAGTGATTACAGACCAGTAAATGCACATGGCACATTTTATATGGGATGGGACACTGATGTCGCAGGAGCATGGGGTTCCCCAAACCTCTCACCAGAAGCCAGGCAAAAAGACATTTACATGAACAAGACAAGGATTGGACTGTACACTTCTCAGCTAGGACAAAGCACACACATGTGGTTATTTTGTGTGTAGATGTGTCAAGAGAAAAATTTAAACCCTGTACTCAGTCTATGAATCCTACAGGAGCCTAAATTCTTTAGTTGTGATGTCTTTTGCATGGGCCTATATGGCCCCGTAGTGAGGCGGTGTGGCTCCCCACCACCCCAGAGGGGGACGAGCCCTTCCCGATGCCAGAGTGGGCAGAGCGAGGGAACTCTGAGCCCGCCCCTCAGACGGTCAAGCGGGGCCGCAGAAGTACAAAGGCTCAACCTCCAAACTCACTGGAGAGAGAGCCGCCGGGGAGGCCAGACGCCTCCGTCCTAGCCCCCAACTGAGAAGCCCCTGTGGCCCTAGTTGCACCCAAGGACTGGCCTGACCTGCCCCACGCCAGCTACCCGGAGGAGTTGCCGGGCCTGTCCCGCGCCAGCTACCCGGAGGAACCCGTGGTGCTGGACCCCCCAGAGGACACCACCGGGACCCAGGTACTACCCGAGGGAGAGTTAGGAAGTAGCTCGGGGGCAGCCGACCCTAGTCTGGCTGTAACACGGCCAGTGCCTATGTCAGTGTGTTGCGGTCTTCTGCCACTGCTAGGGCCCCGGGCTGGGACGCAGTGGAGTGGGTGGGCCTGCGTCCCCCCTGCCCCCCGACTCGTGGGTGGCCATCTCCCCCTCTCCCAGGGCCTTTGGGGGCCTGGGTTTAGGGCTACATTCACACTGCTGCTACTCACCCCTGCCTGAGGGGCCTGAGGGCTGACCCATTGTTGCCACGCCCTGACCCAGGCCCTGGGCTTGTTTCTATTGCACTACTACTGCTCAGCCCCTGCCTGAGGGCCTGAGCGCCTGATTCACTGTTGCCCCGCCCCGCCCTGGGGCCCGGGCTTACGGTGCTTATTTCAGTTCCCGCAAGGGCTGCCGAGGGAGACTCCCGCGGCCGAACTAATTCCCCAAACCTCAACTGTGTGTAGGGAGTCGGTGTGGCTCCCCGCCGCCCCGGAGAGGGTCGAGCCGCGGCTCGCCCCTTTACAGGCCCAAAAAGGAAAAGCTTTAAAACCTGCTAAAATTCCCTAATCCTTTGTATCCTTTACCTCCCACCGAATGCTTCCTCTCTCTGAGAAAGTCAAATCCACAGTTGTTCGTTCCAGCCTTCCTCCAGTTTATAAATATTAAACCAACCCAGCTCAAATTGTGGCTATGGAGGATCTGGTGCTGTAAACTGTTCACAATGGATCCACACAGCAGAAAACCTGTAACAAAATTCAGGGAGTAAATTGTGATCTACACACAAAGAAGAGGCTAATTTTATTGGGCCAAATTATTTGCTGGTGCAAACGGATACACTGGCACATTTACACTAGGGGAAAATGTGGCCTATTTCGTGAATTATTCACTCATCTTCGATGATTAAAATATCGTTTGATGACCTGATAAACAGAGAAGTTAAGGACCATAACTGGGACTAGAATCCAACGGTCCTTAGCTTCATGTTGCAACCAGTGGACAACACTTTTCTTCTCACACCTGCAACTGTTAGTTGGAGGAGCTGGTGCTTTTTAACAAAAATCCAAGTTGGTCCATACTTTGAAAATTCAGAAAGAATTACGGATCTGATTCTGAATTAAACTAAGGCTCCTTTACACTTTGGCAGTGTAATGAAATGAATCCATGCACTTGATACCCATTACGTATGAAGGAGTAGTTGAAAAAAGGATCAAACCATGTATATCAGGCTGTTAAATGGAATTTTTAACAGATATAGTAATGCCCCATGTTTTGAAACTTGACAGTGCTTGAGAAGAAAGAGTTGAAAGAAGATCATTTAATGCTTTTTTATACCTTCACAGCAACTGAGATGTCTTTTCTTCCCCCTTCTGGGTCATAACCTATTCTATTATCTTCATGCAGTTACACTTTAAGTTAATGACCTAGTTAATTAACATTGAATCGAAGCTGAAATTCTATAGAAGTACTTTTGACAACTACATGAATAACAGAGTGGTTCATCAGAATTAGTGTTATGACAGTACATACCAAGAAAAAGAACCATGATTAGGTCATTATTCTACATTGTCCCCCCTTCTACATTCAGCTCTTCTAGACAGGAGTATTTCGTGAGGAATAGGTATGTCGTTGCTTCATGACTTAAGATCTCACTGCCTTAGATTCTTTGAATCCCAGAAAACAATAAGGAAATGCTAAAAGATAGGACTTAGTTTTCACTCAGACATTTTATCACCACAGAATCAGATGCGAGAGGGTGGTAAAAGATGTCTGGGTACATATATCCCTCATTTCCTTGTCTAACATATTTGTGAAAAGAGCTGAGCGAACAACAGATTTTTCAGTCACCGGCAATTAAAAAAAAAATTATTTGAGTCAAACCAAAAATCAAATTTTTGAACATGGCAGTGACTTAAATAATAATTTTAGTAATAATTTCAGGTTGAAAAAAACATGATTTGCCACAAAATTGTTTAATTTTTTAATGTTTTTTTAAAAAATAAAATGAAAGGAAATTCCCAAATGCATGATTTCAAATAAAAAATTCAAAATCTTTCACTTCCAAAATATCAAAATGAAATATTTCAATTTTCTTCAGAGTGAAACAATGTGGTGAAATCTGCATGAATTCACAAAACATTTCAGTGTCGTTGGGTTTGCATTTTTCACCTCCAAAAAAGTTTGGGTCCAAAAGGGTCACCCAGCTCTGTCTGTGAATATTTTATTATTAATTATTTGTACTATGACAGTGCCTATGGGCTCAAACATGGAGCAAGACCCCAATGTCCTTTGCACTGTACAAACTTATAGTAAGAGAGAGTTTCTGCCTGGAATAGCTCACAGTCTAAATAGACAAAGAGTGGGAGGGAAAACAAAGGCACAAAGACATCAAGTGCGTTGCCCGCAATCACTCAACAGGTAATTCTAGGAATAGAACTTATGTCTTCTGCCTCTTGAGCCAATATTTCATCCGGTGCAGTTTGCTGCCTACTTGTGAGTCCCAATTTTGCCTTGTAGGGACCACCTTGCAGAATGAAAGGAGGACTCCCTGAGTTCTCTGAGTCTGCTAGGAAAAGGAGGCACGTAAAAATGACTGTGTTTTGTGATGTGAATACTGGATACTAGACTAAGGACCCGCGTTTTCTTTGCCAGCATGGTGAAATTTTATCATTTTAGGTGGATTTTTGAGGCAAGGAGGACCGACCCAAGCCTCAAAGTCCCCTAAAGAGATCAGACTGTGGGATCTGACAGACTGAGTGAGATGCAGTTCAGCAGGTCCATAAAATATAAGGACATCCATTAGAATAACCTTCCCCACAACACATATCAGTGCAACACCACCAGCAAGATGTCTGGAGACATCTTCATCAAAGCAAACTCATGAATTTGTAAATCCTTCTTTCCCCAGGGCAGCTTTGTGAACTTTCTACTCGCACAAAACCAAACACCCTTGCCCTGCCCCTCCTCCAGGGCCCTGCCCCCTGCTCATTTCATCCTCCCTTCTTCTGTCACTTGCTGTCCCCACCCTCACTCACTCGCTTATTTTCTCCTGTCTGGCTCAGGGGGTTGGGGAAGTGTGAGAGCTCTGGCTGGGGTGCAGGCTCTGGGGTGGGGCCAGGGATGAGGGGTTTGGGGTGCAGGAGGGGGCTCCAGGCTGGGGGGGTGGGGCCAAGGGGTTCAGAGCATGGGCGGGGGCTCCAGGCTGAGGCAGGGAGTTGGGGTATGGGAGGGATACGGGCTCTGGGCTGGGGGTGCGGGTTCTGGGATGGGGCCAGAAATGACGGGTCCAGGGTGTGGGGGGCCTCCAGGATGGGGAAGGGGGTTGGGGTGCAGGGAGTGAGGGCTCCGTCTGGGGGTTGCAGGCTCTGGTGTGGGGCTGTGGGTGAGGGATGAGGGATTTGGGGTGCAGGAGGGTGCTCCGGCCTCGGACCAAAGTGTTTGGTGGGCGGGAGGCAGTCAGGGGTGATGGTCTCTGGGCAGTGCTTACCTCAAGCAGCTCCCAGAAGCAGTGGCATGTCCCCCCTTCAGCTACTACACCAAGTCATGTCCAGGTGGCGCTGCGCACTGCCCTGACTGCAGGCCCTGCCCCCGCAGCTCTTATTGGCTGCAGTTCCTGGCCAATGGGAGCTGCAGGGCTGGCACTTGGGGTGGGGGCAGCATGCGGATCCCCAGGTTGCCCCTAAGTGTAGGAGCTAGAGGGGGGACATGCCGCTGCTTCCGGGAGCCACATGGAGCCACAGCAGACAGGAAGCCTGCCTTAGCCCTGCTGTGCCACCGACCAAACTTTTAATGGCATGATCAGCAATGCTGACTGGAATCACCAGGGTCCTTTTTTACTGGGTGGTCTGGTCAAAAACCAGATACCTGGCAACCCTATCCCCAGAGCCGCTCACTTGCTGTCCCCCACTTCTCTAGCCTTTATTTAAAGTGTAAGGGCCAGATGGGGCAAGACTTCTTATCACAGGGTATACTCACCACTGGGCACCTTCTGTTGGCTCCCTTTGAGGATTAGCTCCACTCAGGTCTGTTGCCCCCCACCCGCAATGGTTGCTCACACTGAACACCCCCCTCCCAGAACTCACCGTGACTCAGCCCTCTGGTCAGCTCACTATGTTGTCTTCCCCTTCTGGGGTATGAAATTCCCACTTGATTGATTTTCCTCATGCTTTTCCAGTACAAGGCCATGTCCCATGCCATTTTCCTGGAAGCTGGTAGGGGAACCTGGGCCCACCCACTACCCCAGGTTCCAGTCCAGGTACCCTATATCCAGCAACTATGATTTGCTTGCTCCCAGATCCTGTGGCTATTTCATTTGACTCCTTACCTTCCTGCTTTATCCCCTGTTCCCCCCCCTCCTCCCGGCCCTTCTGGATTTTCCTGTCCAGACTCCATCCTCCTAGGGAGTAATTGCAGATGACTTAATTCATAGCCCCAAACACACCTTCCTTCTCCCAGGGAGAGACTGCAGATTACTTCTCCTTCAGCCCTCTTTTCTCCTTTTTCTGGCAAAGCAGACTTGATAATAGTCTATCACTGCCACCAGCTATAATTCCTCAATACTTAGTGGTTTATATCCTCACACTCTTCCCTGTGACTTTCAGGTAATGTAACAGCACTATTTAAATAACATTCCATTTCCCTGATGTTTTTACTAGCTAATAATGCAATTTCTTTTTTAGCTTAAGTTGTTTGAATGCCTCAAAAAGCTTTTCTCTTTCTTCATCAAAGCCCTTACACGCCCATAAAAGGTGATGAATTGTTTCTTCCACCTCACAGAGTGCACAAAGTTCATCTTTATGTCTATTTATTCAAAAAAGATATTTGGATATCCAAACAAAAGATATCCAAACAAAACTGCTTCCGTAGTCCTATCCAGGCCTTGAAGTATGTTGTAATCCTCAACTCTAGGGCCCAATTCAGAAAAATCTTCCTCTTTTTTCATTAATCCAAATTTGATGCCCTTCCTCTTTTAAATTCAACCTTTTTCTGTTCTCAGCTTGCT